GAAAGAGTGCCCAGGTTAGGGGTTGTTGTTTTATATAGGATGGTTGGGGAGGCCTCTCTGCTAGGGTACATTAATCAGAGACCTGCAAGAAGGGAGAGAGCCATGTGGGTATCTGGAAGAAGAGTGCTCAGGGAAGAGGGAGCGGCGGATACAAAGGCCCCAAGGTGGGAATATATTTGAGGATTTCAGGATACAGCTGTGAGGCCAGTGTGGCTGGAGAAGAGGAAGTGAGGAGGGGAGTGGCAGATCAGAGCAATGGTAGAGGGTTTAGGTATAAATGTGGAATTAGAAAATAATAATTTCATCAAGGAGATGCTGATTAAAAGATAACCACTGGGAAAGATATTTTAAATGATTGCTGGTGCTAGTGAGGATATGGTAAGATTGGCATTCCAATATTATCTATTAAGTGTAAAGTACAGTCTTTCTGGAAAGCAGCTGGCAATATACTATGTATCAAGCCTTCAGAAAATGTACTTTGACCTTGTCGTTCCATAGCCAGGCATGCATTTTAAGGATGTTCATTAAGTATTATTTTTATTAGCAAAATATTAGGAAAAAACTAATTTTTTGACGAACAATAAGAAAGTGTATAAATTATATCTATAAAATGTAATATTGGGAGAATTATTAAAAATGCTTTCACAGAATATTTAATTACATGCTTTCACAGAATATTTAATTACATGGGAAAATATTCATAATATAAGTGAAAAAAATAAGCATATTAAGCTATAACTACAGTATGATTTCTAGTTTTTAAGATATGGCTAGATACATACATATATACATAAATATATACAGAAAAATAGTTGGATGGAAATACATGGCAATGGAAATGGTCCATCTTTGGTTGATAGGATTATGGGTAACTTTTTTTCCTTCCTTGTACTTTCCTGTATTGCCCCTGGCTGTACATTAGAATCACCTAGAGATCTTCAAAAAATACAAATATCCAGGCTCCACTCACCAGAAATTATGAATTAAACTGGCTGGGTTACAAGTGTAGATACTTTATAAAGAACTGTCTGGGTCTTTCTGATACTCTGGTTCAGATTCATAGCACACATTAAGGATAAGTATAATTTATATTCAGTTTTGAGGTGTTTCTTTTGTTGTATTTAAATGCTTACCTACATAGTAAAGTGCTTTTGTTTTCAAGTTTAACAGTTTGGGTTTTTATTTGTTGTTTGTTTGTTTTAAGAACTGCTTTCTGAAGCAAGTTTCCAAGAAGCACTTCAGGAAAGCATCCCTGACATTCAAGCACATGATTGGGTGCCACTGTGGCTACTGCGATATTCAGTCATTGTTAAAAGTAGAGGAATTATCAAATCAAAAGGCTACATCTTACAAGCTAAAAGAAAGGGTTTTTAACTACGATTTAGGATCATAACCTACTGACCTGTATTTTCCTTGAATATAAGATAAAATTGAGATGTGTAAAAATCTAATTACTGCCTGTAAATGTGTCATTGAGGCAGATATTCTTTAGCTATATTTGACAATATGTTATCTGTCAAGTTTGAATACTTCTCTTGCTTCCATATCAGTTCACTCACTTGAACCACTATATTGTTTTCATTGAACTATTGTTTTCTAATTGAAATTGTCTATAATGAAGATACTTGCAATATATTTTTCCTTTATTTTTATGACAGTAGAAATCAAGAAAATTTGTTGTTAGATATATTTTGGCCTAGGCATCAGGGTAATATATATACATATTTTTTATTTCTAAAAAATTCATTAATTGCTTCTTACTCTACAGTATAACTAAACAATTTAATTACAGTTGTTAAAACAAATACTGGAAGATATTTTTCCTGTCATTGATAAGATGATTATATCTCAGAGTAACTGGAATAGCTGGGATCTACTAGTAGTGTAAATAAAAGTCCTTTCTTCAATATGTGAATGGAAGCTTAAATTTTTTTTATTTGTCCTTGCTTGCAGTTTACCTGTAATGATTTAACCTGTATTCTTGTGCCATATTTGCTCTTGATGTTATTACAAAGACAAACCAAAGTAAATATGTAAAGGAGACTAGGAGCTTTGAAATTATTGTTTGGGGGTTTTATAAAAGCAACTATTTTTACCTCCAGATTCTTTTTAATTCTCCATCTGTCCTTAATATTTTGCTACTCATTCAAAAATATTCAATAAGTACTGAGCACTTACCATGTGCTGGGCACTGTGGGTTCTGGAGAGAGGAGGGAGCACAGGGATTAAGAATCAGTTGAGTAAAATATGCAATATTTGTTCCCCACTAGTAACTGACTACAAGGGACTAAAAGCCAAAAAAGGGGTGAAAAAAATCTTTAATTCAGGATCATGTTGTCTATTTAGATAACTTTGAGACATGGTCTTAACTGTTTAAAATCAAAACAATATAACCCAAACTTTAAAGCTAAAAGAGACTGTAGATCATTTAGTATAATTCCTTATTAGTTTAAGAACCAGAAAATAGCAAATAAATAAGCTGTGACCTCTTTGGTATATACTGTAGGTCTTTGTAATTCTATAAATTGGTATCTGTAACCCAAATAGTTGGAAAAATTCTTTAAAAATCTCTTGTATCTCAATTAATACTTTTAAACCATGTATATTAATACATGGTTTATAAAACTAAGATAATTATATATATACACACCCACACATACATAACATAACACACACACATATATGTAACTAATGTATAAAACTAATTTTGCCCAAGTTTTTTCAACTTAGGGAAAAGATCTGTGGTTCCATATTCAAAATAAATACACTAAAAATTGATAAATAAATAAGACTTTTTTCCTGTTCTAAGTAAGGTTTTGTGGTTTACTAGTTGGATAATTTGATCATTAGAATTGCAATGTGAAATCAGCTGATTTACCTGTTAAAACTTTAGACTTTGAGCTTCCTAAAGCCTTATGTATAGCCTTTATATTAATTGTATGTAATGTTATTAAATGTATATAGTTAACTTTTTAATTTGGAAATGTACAACATTTTTTCATGTAATGTAAGTCTTTAAACAAATGCTCATTTTAATTTAAGCCTATACGGTGAATTGGCCAAGATATTTTAAGAGGGCACTTTAATATCACATTTATTATTTTTTAAAACCCTGGACTTAGAAAAATGGATTGTTTGAAAGGTCATTTTGAAAATAGAAAAAACCGTATGTTGCTAATACATCCAGACTTCAGCGGGAGCTTTTTGTGTGTTTTTTCCCCAACTCTTGACAAAGTAGCAAGATTATAGATTCATCTTGTGAAGGGGATCATGTGTGGCTTTTTTAAATGAATTTTTTGTTTGTTTCGCTTCTATACCTCTAATTTCTGTTATTGAATAACCTTTTCTTTAAAAAACTGATTTTTTTTAAAGGCTTTATCTTCTCTAAGCTGATATTCACTTCTTTTTTTGGTGAACTATCAGAATATAGTGAATGCTTTTCAAGTATTTAGGGACTTAATGTTTAAAAAGCCATAAAATAGAGTGATAATACTACCAAATAATTGCTTAAAGCTGAAAGCTAAGTTAACAATAGTGTATATAACAGATATGTTTTCTGGGGACATGTGTATCCAGTGACCCAAGGTATAAGTTTTTTTCCAGTAAATATGACAAGAAGCTTCAGCTTGTTATTACATGTCCAAAATACACTGGAGCCTTACTTTAACACAATGTACTGTAACTTGGAATTTTTTCTGTGATGAGTCTGTTTTGAATTCTCGTCTAAGAAACCGTAGTCAACAAAAGGACCAAGGTGTCTTACAAAATATGTTCACACAGTGTACATTATGAAGACCACATTGTGCCAGTATGATAATAGAGAATTTAGGAATAGCCAGTGCTAGAACTTGAATCACAAATAATAGCTCATAATTTTTCCATTCATGGGAAAGATCATTTTAGACAGCTGTGTGAAGTGGAAAATGAAGTTATTCTATTTTGAATGAATGATTCAGACTTCCCTACCAGAGCCAAGTAGTAACTGAAATAGGATCTTGATTTTCAGTGATAAAGGTCTAAGTCTTAATTATGTTTCTTTTTAGAGCAGATTTTCTTTCTAACTTTTCCACCCAGATTCAATATTTGGGAATGTAAGCAGTTGATATATATATATATTGTGTGTATATATATATATATATATATATATAGTATATTGGTTGACAATTCATCTTTCTGCCAAATGTACATTTAGAGAAATTTGAAGTTTTAATGAGAATTTAGTCCATTTGTGTTTTCCTACTCAAATATACCAACTTATGATTCCAAATCTATTTTTTTCAAAGTTCCTAACATACCAGAACTTGTACCTGCCATTTTCCCTTAAAGTTGGTGGCAGGATATGTCAGTTTTATTTTTTTTTAATATGTACTATAATTTTTATTAATTTTTTAATAGTTTTCAGAGTTAGAAATATACTTAGGAGGGGAAAATGTTTTAATTAGATAATTCTACTTTTATGTGTCTTTAGCAGTGTACTCTAAAATGAAGGCAAAATATAAAGCATTATTAAATGATTATAAGTTTTTAATTTTACCTATTTATGAATTTAAATTGTGAGTTGTATATTTTTTAATTGAGTTGTTTTAATAGTTGTAAGCATCTTGGAACATTATATTGGTTTTGAACTATTTAAACTCAAACTGAGTATGGTTTGAAAATAAATTATGAAAAATAATTAAATACCAAGCCATAAAGTTATTCATACATTCATTCAACAAAGATGTATTGAATTCCTGCTATGTACCAGGCAGTGTGCCGGGTGTTGGCAGACAGAAACAGAGATGAAAACAGCCCTGTCTTCAAGGAGCAGATAAGTATATTTTGGGGGCAAGAGAGATCTGTACATGAACAAGAGCAATAAAGGGCTGCATCTATTAATGACAGAAGCAGTGAAAAGGGAGTGGGGTCATGTGGAAGGAGTGGGACTGCTGGGAAGCAGGATAAGGATGAGAAAGGCTCCCCTGCAGGAACTAGCCTCAGAGTAGGATCGTAAGATGGGGTGGGGGTATGCCTGGTTTGTAAATACACTGATATTGAATAATGAACAGTTTATATGTAAACTTCAGAAATCCTGTGAAAACACTTCCTTCAAGAGCTTGTTCTTGCCAGATAGAAAGGAATGGCTTCTAGTGAGACAAGAGTAGGTAAGGTTTGAAAAGTCACATTTTATAAAAGAGAGACAGAAACTTGCCGCAATCCCCTAAATATATTAGGATATAGCTTATGTAGTTTCACTACCAGAAAAGTCAAACAAAACCTTAATATGTATCCCTCAGCAATGAATAAATGTATAAAATGTCATACAAGATTTCGGTCTGTGTTTTGGTCCATTATTTTAAGAAGGTTCATGTTTTACAATAAGCATTATTTATTTGGACTCAGCTCTGTTTCCTCTGTTCTTTGCTCACTGTTGATTCTTGCCCCCTACTCCATTTGCATTTACTTTTTTCTTAAGTATATCCTTAGTAATTCTTTCACTGAAGGTCTTTGGGCAGTAAACCTCCTAGGTCTTGTTTGTCTGAAAATGTCTTTATTTTATTAACAGTCTTAAATCATCATTTGACATTATAGAATTCTAAGTTTCCAAACACTTGCCCTCAGCATCTTGAAGATAACATTCTATTGATTTCCAGCATTTATACTCTTGCTAATGAAAACCTGGATTTTCTTCCCTAGAAATAATCTGTTTTTCCCTCTGGTCACGTTCTTTTCATTTGAAGTATTCTATTCATTTTTATGTGTATGGAATTAGAATAAAGAAAGAAAATGAAAACTGGCTTCTGAGTTTTCTGATAACACCAAAAAAGTAATCATAAAGGAAAATATCAATAGCTAGATTTAATCAAAATTAAAATCTTCTGTTCTTCAAAATATACTTAAGAAAACAGTGTATTTTGAAAATGTGAAAATGTGAGCCATAGACTGGGATGAAATACTTGTAATAAATATTTCTCATGAAAAATAAATTGGACATAATCAAATTTTTTAAATTGCACTTCAAAAACACCATCAAGATAAACCATAATGGAAAAGAATGTGAAAAAGAATGTATATATATATTTATATATATAACTGAGTCACTTTGCTGTGCAGTAGAAATTAATACAACACTGTAAATCAACTATACTTCAATAAAATAATTTTTTAAAAAATCTTCAGAAACACCATCGAGGAAGTCAAAAGGCAACCCATAAAATAGGATAACATATTTGAAAATCATAGATAAGAATCTTGTATCTGGAATGTGTAAAAGAACTCTTACAGCTTAAGACAACCCAATAAAAAGTAGGCAAAATGTTAGAGCATATTTTTCTCCAAAGAAGACACGAATAGTCAATAAGAATATACAACATGTTCAACATCATTAGTCATCAGGGAAATGCCAATTAAAACCACAATGAAATATCACTAAAATAGCTAAAATTTTTAAAAACTGACAGTACCAAGTGCAGCAAGGATGTGGAGGAAGCAACTCTCATAGTGCTGTTGGGACTGTAAAATGGTACCAATACAATCACTTGGGATTTCTTACAAAATTAAACGTACATGTACCATGTGACCCAGCAATTCCACTTCTAGGTATTTACTCAAGAGAAATCATATATCTGAAATAGCCATATATGAATGTTTATAGCACTTTCTTCATAATAGCTGAAAACTGGAAACAACCCACATGTTTATCAACAGTTGAATGGATAGTTGAAGTATAATCATCAATAAAAAATAACTACTGGTATATAAAGTAACATGGGTGAGTCTCAGAAATACAGTGAGTGAAAGAAGCTAGACATGAAAATACATAATTTCCTTTACATGAAATTTTTAGAACAGACAAAATTAATACTGTATTATCTGTTGCTGCATCTGGGTACCTCAAGGCTTCTCAAAATGTTGCAGTCAGGGTCATCTGGGACTCCAGTCTCCGGTAGGCTTGATTGAGGTTGGTCTGCTTCCAAGCTCCCTCGTGAGGTTGTTGGCTGGACTCCGTTCCTCTCTGGCTGTAAGCCAGAGGCCTCCCTCACTTGCTTGCCACATGGCCCTCCCCGTAGGGCAGCTCATTACAAGCACAGAATGAACAAGTGAGAAATCGCAAGATGGAAGCCAGCTTTTTTTGTAACCTAATCTTGAAAGTGACACCCGTCACTTTTGTTACATTCTTTTCATTATAAGTCACTAGGTCTAGCCCATACTCGAGGGTATGAAGACGAGAGGATAGGATCATTGGAGACCATCTTACCTGTCAAACTTAATTTAAAAGTAATGTTTTGTATGTAATAATGCAAAATGTACTTTTAGAAGGCTTATGCACTAAAACGCTCATCTTTTGGTTAATGCCTAAAATTCCAGAGAGGGATTCAACCCTATAATTTAAGAGTTTTAGTTAGTAAAATATAGACAGTCATGGGAGAGTTTCCCTTTGGGCCTGTGTAATAATTACTGTGTTTTTATACTGTATTTTCCCCAAATCCACCTTGGGTAAAGAAGAGAGCAGGTAAAGAAGGTAGAGATAGGGAAACATGGCAGACCTGGTAAGCTCGCATAAAACAAAAACAATACTTTGCAGTTTTGCCCCTGATCAGCAGACCAGCTCAGTCTTCTTATATTATGAATATGTACTAACATTTTAATCTTAGTATTTAATGTTTGTTTCTTGAACTTTTTAGATTGTAAATATTTGGGAGTGTTTTTTTGGTTTGTTTCGTTTTAAAGGGGCCATGCTTGTAAGTGAACAGTACACACTGGTGTTCTAATACTCTCCCAATTTTCTACACCCACTCCTGTGATCTTAATTTCTATTTTCATGCATTTGCTCATGTTAAAGTTGTCATATACATTAAATGAGTTAATGTATTTAAAGCACTTAGTACCCAGCATACAGTAAGTGCTCTACTATTACTATGATTGATGCTGTTGTCTCCACCACCCACCTCCAGTTGCTTCATCTTCCTTCCTCTACACCACTCCACCTCCTCTTCAGACTTAGCCCGTCTTCTGTTCTTCCTCTTACCTACTCTCATTGCTACTTGGCCCTACTAAAACTCCTTCTTTTTGCTCCTTACCACATTCCCCATGAGAGTCAATCTAAACTTTTTTCATTCTTCTGAGCAGATGAATCACCTTCTTACAGAGATTGTTATCTACCTAAAATCCTCTCCTTTCCTCCCCACTTTAATTTCCCTGCATTTATAGTCTCCTCTCTGCTTCAATTATCAACTCTTCCCTCTTGCCTCAAAGGAAGGAGCATTCTTTTGTGGCTAACTCCTCCACCTCCATTTTTTTTTTTTTTTTGCCATATGTGGGCCTCTCACTGTCGTGGCCTTTCCTGTTGCCGGACGCGCAAGCTCAGCGGCCATGGCTCACGGGCCCAGCCGCTCCGCGGCACGTGGGATCCTCCCGGACCGGGGCACGAACCCGTATCCCCTGCATCGGCAGGCGGACTCTCAACCACTGCGCCACCAGGGAGGCCCTCCACCTCCATTTTTTAATTCCATTCTTTAGTTGGGATTAGGCTTGCTGCAAAACACAGAAAACCCCCAAATAACTGGTTTAAAAAGAGGTGTTTTTATCAGGTGAAACAGCTCCAAAATTAGGCTATTTAGAACTGATACAGCAGTTCCACAACTTGTCAGAAACTCAATTTTTTTCTTTGCTACTGCTCTACCATCCTTAAAGCATGGCCCTCATCTTCATGGCACAAGATTGCTGCTTGAAAACCAGGGAACACAACTTTCCACAGAGTGAAATGAAGTTAAAGAAGGCAAGGAGGACCTCCTCGCTTTTAAGATGTCCCTAGAGAACTACACAACACTTAATTGATCCATAATTAGTCCAAACCTAAGCTGTATCTGACTGCAAGAGAAACTATGAAAGGAGCTATTTAGCTGAATGGCAGTTTGCCCACTGAAAATTCTGTACCTCGTGACTTTAAGGAAAAAAAATTGGTTTTCTTTTCTAAAGTAAGGGAGATTTGATGAGGCGCTCATTCTCATCTCCAATGACTGTTTACTTACTTCTCAATCCCTTTCCATCACCCTCAAACATATCCTAGCTCTCCACCCTTTATCGTAAAAGAAAAATCAAAGTGTCTCTTGATTCTAGTCATTCTCTTCCTTTCACTGCAAAAACTTTTTTTTTTAATCTCTCTCCTTTACAATTTAACATTTCTTCTATTCTGCTTATTCCCAATTCCTACTCACCATTGCACCTTTCAATTATATAGCTTCCTAACTAGCCTCTGAATTCCTGGGCATGTAACATATACATCTTTTACCCGAACCATGTCTTTAAATTTTATTTTATATTTAACTTCACAAGTAATACAAGAGTATATGATTTTTTAAGGTACTATAAATAATGCAAACGTCTCCTTCGGCCATACCCATGGCTGCATTAAGACCTCTGCTGAACAAATGAGAGGATGGGCGTAGTAGAGCAGATGATGCTATTTTTTTTTTAATTTTTTTTTTATACAGCAGATTCTTATTAGTCATCCATTTTATACACATCAGTGTATACATGTCAATCCCAGTCACCCAATTCATCACACCACCACTACCACCACCCCGCTGCTTTCCCCCGGTGGTGTCCATACGTTTGTTCGCTACATCTGTCTCAATTTCTGCCCTGCAAACCGGTTCATCTGTACCATTTTTCTAGGTTCCACATATATGCGTTAATGTACGATATTTGTTTTTCTCTTTCTGACTTACTTCACTCTGTATGACAGTCTCTAGATCCATCCACATCTCAACAAATGACCCAATTTCGTTCCTTTCTATGGCTGAGTAATATTCCATTGTATATAGTTCCACATCTTCCTTATCCATTCGTCTGCCCATGGGCATTTAGGTTGCTTCCATGGCCTGGCTATTGTAAATAGTGCTGCAATGAACATTGGGGTGCATGTGTCTTTTTGAATTATGGTTTTCTCTGGGTATATGCTCAGTAGTGGGATTGCTGGGTCATATGGTAATTCTATTTTTAGTTTTTTAAGGAACCTTCATACTGTTCTCCATAGTGGCTGTATCAATTTACATTCCCACAGATGATGCTATTTACCAATTCGTTCGTGTGTAACGGGGACGAGGGCCCTAGGCCACGCCGGGAAGGTCTCTCCCTGCGCAAGACTGCTGGGTCTTCTACCGCACTGACGTGAACGCTAATACCCGTCTCCTTCCGGCTCCCGGGGTGAGACAGCCTTGGCCTAGGTCGGAGGGGCGGAGGCGGTACGAGTTCTCGAATTCCGGGATTCTCGCGGGAAAACGCGAGTGTGGCGCTTCTCTGACGCACTTCCGGAGCGCGGTGAGGGCGCCGCGGCGGCTGCAAGCCTGGAGGATGGTGGTTACTAGGTCCGCGCGGCCTCGGGCCGGGATGGAAACCACGTCAGTTGAAAGCTCCCAGCAGAAGGTAGGAGATCTCAACGCTCCCTCATTTCTTTTCGCTGCTTCGCAGAACGGTGCTCAGGGAGGTGGGTGGCGCTGTGGGGTCCCGCAGAGCCTGGGGAGGAGCGGCAGAAAAGCCGGAACTGGCAGCGCGCAGCTGTGTACCAGGCTCCGCGCTAAGCCTGTAGCTTCCTCTTCAGACCTCACTAGGGTCTTTTAATGTAATGCTTGGCAGGGAATAGAGAGATTAGGTAACTTATTTTGCGGTAGTTCAGCTCCGTAATGCAAATGCACAGCTCAGGCCTTTTAATCTTACTGCTAACACCGTGCTGAGGAGGATTAATTTCGGCCACCAAGCGTGAGCCTCATTAGCTGGATTGGATGGAGAAGGCACCATTTTCACGTGGGAAGACTGGCTGTGCCCCGACAGCACCTCCTTCTGGCGTGGGGAGGGCTGTGGTGACGCCAGCTAGTAATTCAGTGGCGTTAGTCGTCCGCTGCCTCTGATCTTGCGATGAAGGGAAGGGAGCATTAATCACTTAGGTATGAAAACGTAAGCACCGCGACCGATTCCATCTTTCGTCTTTTCCTATATTTTATGTCGGAATATAGGTCCACCTAGCATATGTGACTTTGAGTGGAGAAAATTTTCTTTTTCAATTACTTGTTTTGTTCCCTAAAGTCAGATCCAGGACTTAAGTGACGCTAGTGAGGCAGGGCCTGCAAATGCAGTCAGATCCAGTATTTAAGTATTGATTTTTTTTTTTAATTGTGGGTGGTGATGGTTGTTGTTATTGTTTTGCATTAATCTTGTTTACTGAGTTTTTTAGTGCCCTCTTAAAATTTGCTTCTGAGGGGAGTGCCTCATTCACTTTGCTCTTGTCCCAGCCTTACCTAAATCACAGTATATTTTCACTGGCTTATAGAATTCTGCTGCCTCAAGAATTCACACACATCCAAAAGGCCAGAAGGAATCTCCATCTGATGACCGAAGTATTGCTGAATCACAGACCAGTAGGGAACAAAGTCCAGCTCCTAAAACCAGGAAGAGGAAGAGCAGAACTACAGGTTCATTACCAGGAATAAACAAACCTTCTACTGATGGAGAGATCTCTGAAGCAGAGTCAAACTGTTCTTCTGTGTCTGAGGCCCAGAATCCCATTTTAAGAGTAACTAGGAGAAGGCAGATCTTAGTTGCAGGCACCCCAGTTTCCAGTGTAAGGAAAAAGCTGAAAATAACTCGAGTAAGTGAGTCTCATACTGAAGAAGTCTCTGAAGCAGAATCACATATTTCAGGTATTTCTAGAATTGTGCATCCCACAGAAATAACAACAAGAACCAGGAGAAGTAAGGCTAAATCCCGAACCAATCCAAACCAAGAATCCCATGTGGAAGCTAATTCTGATGCTGAGTCATCATGCTCAGACATTTCTTCATTTTCTGGAATTGCAACTAGGAGAACAACAAGGAGTATGCAAAGGAAATTACAGGCACAAACTGAGGCGAATGATACTAAGATTGTACCAGGAAATGAAAAGCAAATCATAAATACACCTGTGAATTTAGAGGATTCAGATACCAGACGAACTTCTTGTTTACTAGCAAGATCGCTTTCTCAGATAAATAAGCCAAATATCTCTAATAATGAAACTTATGATGACCCTGCTAATGACTCCTTCTTTGGAAATTCAGGAAAAAAACTAATAGTGCAAAAACACCAAAGTTTTAATATAAGAGAGGAAAAACAAGACAACGTTTCACCTCTCAAAGAAATAACAAAGCAGAATTGTAAGAGCTTAGAGGAAGAAGCCAAAGGAATAATAGATGCGGGAAAAGAAATTAATGAGAAAAATTCTCAGTTGAAGAGTCTTTCTGAACTTCAGGACACTAGCCTTCAGCAGTTAGTTTCGCAAAGGCATTCAACCCCTGAAAGTAACAAAACCACCTCAGCATCCTCAAACCTGAACTGTGAGGCTGTAATGAAATCGTTAGCTCAAACATTTGCAGTTGTGGAAGTGGACAGATGGAATGAAGAGAGAAACAGCAGCATAAAAACAAGTGACTGGACAGAACTTGGTGATGGTGGTGATAGTGATGAAGAAGCAGAGTGCACAGTTATAGCTGTTGGCGAAGACATGAGCAAAGAAAGGGGTGTAGATTTTGAGTGTGATACCAAACTGTGTGAACTTGAGCCCAGCACATCTCAGGATAAAGATGGTTCTGTTTTATTAGTTCTCAGCAGTGATGAAAGCCAGCAGTCTGAAAACAGTGAGAATGAAGAGGACACTGTGTGTTTTGTTGAAAATAGTGGGCAAAAAGAGTCATTAAATGGAGACTCAGAAAATACATCACCTGACAATGCATTGTTTGTAATTGACACAACTCCTCAATTGAGTGCTGATAAAAATTTTTGCTTGGATGAAGAAGACAAGGCAAGTGAGGTTGCCACTGAGGAAGAAGAGGAGGAGGAGGAAGAAAGTGAAGAAGAACCATCAGACAGTGACAGAAGTAAAGATAATGAGTTTAGTGATGAAGACAACTTACTAAATAGCACAAAATCTAAACTGTAAGTTTTATCTTTATTTTTTAAAGTAAGTTTTTGATACATGTTTGAAGTGGCTAATTTACCATAAAAATATAGTCATAGAAATTGAAAAAATTATTACTTTGGGTTCTTTATGGAAGAGCTTTTTTATCTAGCATTTCCCTTGTTTATATGGGTATCTTTGTTAGTCATATTTTCCCACCAATGAGAGCTAAAAGTACTCCGTTTGATGGTACATTAAAAATCATCTGGGGCTTCCTTGGTGGCGCAGTGGTTGAGAGTCCACCTGCCGATGCGGGGGACGCAGGTTCGTGCCCCGGTCCGGGAAGATCCCACATGCCGTGGAGCGGCTGGGCCCGTGAGCCATGGCCGCTGAGCCTGCGTGTCCGGAGCCTGTGCTCCGCAACGGGAGAGGCCACAACAGTGAGAGGCCCGCATACCACACACACAAAAAAATCATCTGTTAAGGTTTTCTTGCACGATTATTAAGAGCAACGTATAAAAGGGAAGGGAGGTAACTTGGTTTTTCCTACGTGTTTATTGTAGAGAAATTGAAAAATAGAGGAGAACCTGAGAAAAACAATAACCTATAATCCCATCTACCACCCATTGAAAAGCACTCTTTGGGGGCTATTTCTTTGGTTTCTTTTTTTGTTTGTTTTTCCTAGGCACAGGCCCTTGGTGGCAATGTATCCACTGGAAATACAGGTATCCTTGGTAAGGAACTATCCATTAACATGCCTAGTCTTCACTCTAAACCAGTGAAATCGCTGAGGCTAGTCTCAGGTGTACTTATTTTTTAAAAGCCACACTTCCTCCCCAGGATAACTGTAATGTACACTCAGGGTTGAGAATCACTGCCAAGGCACTACAATTGAATGATTTCACTTTCCAATAGAGGTTGATTATCAGAACTTTCAACTGCTCAGTTTATATGAAGAATTAGGAAAGAAACTGACTGTAAGTCCAAGTGTACTTGTTTATAAAAAGGACTCTTCAGTACTATAAAGTAGAAATTTTTATTACATAAATATAGCAGGAGCCCAAGCCAACTGCAGAAGATTCTGATTAGGTGGATCCGCGGTTTGACAGTTATATTTTTTTTAAAGCTCCAGTGGAAAGTACGAATGCTCATTGTTTAAAACTCACTGATTTAGAGGCACTACTAAATGCCCTTAAATTACCCAGAAAAATATTCCAAATTTGGATAACTTAGAAGTTCGGAGTAGAAGACCCTGTCTTTCTCATTGGCTTTGGAGATGGAAGTATGTGGACGTATATTAACTCACTACCTATACGTGAAGTTGAGCAAATTGCCAGGTGTATTTCCTCCTCTTTTCTGTAATTCTTTCTTTATAAAATCCCTTTATGAAGTCTATTGTCATGTAATATGGCCTTAATCCTCTTCTAAGAAAAACTAGGGAATAAATTTTGATGTGCTTCCAAAAGGCTTAATTCATTATTCATCCCATAATTTTCTTCTAAATAAAAATACAGTCTCAATTGTTTCCATTTTGAATTACTAAATGATCTAAAGATCATTTCTTAATCACTTAAAATGATCATTTCTCTTTCAGTCTGAAGTTGACTAGCAGCAGCATAGATCCTGGTCTGAGTATTAAGCAGTTGGGTGGTTTGTATATTAATGTCAATGCAGACAAGCTACAGTTGAACAAGAGAACTCTAACACAGATCAAGGAGAAAAAGAAAAATGAGGTAAGTTGCACAAAGCATCCCATTGGTTTTCATAGAACTAACCAGTCACTTCTAGAAATGATTAGTCCTTGGTAAGAGACTAATTTTCCTACAGTGCAACCACATTAGCCTACTGTGCTTCTTTTTTCCCTCTTTCCAGGACAGTCATTTCTTCTTTTTTATTATAAAGTCCCAGCTATAAAAGATGAGGCTTGAAAACTAAAGTGATATAGGATCAGTGTTACTCTTCTTGCAATCACCAGTTATGATCCCAAGGGTTGTGTTTTTTCTTTTCTTGCTATACTTTTAGCTCTTAACTGCTTTTGACTGTGTTGAAAATCTGAAAGCTGTGAGTGCCCACTAACCCCACCAGGAAAAAAAGCACATGTGTGCATAGACATAAAATTGTACATATATTTTCCGAAAGAAATTACAGGTTAGGTAACCTCATCCAAACCCTCAGTTTCAGCTGTCACCTTGAATGATTTCCAAATCTTTAGTATCAGTATTTTCTAGCCTTGCAGCCTACCCAGGTCTTTAAATCCAGGTGCCTATTGTTTGTTCATTCAGATGTGCTCAGGCACTTGACTTCACCAATTGCCCTTCTCTTCCCTACCTAAACCAGTTCGTCCTTTTGCAAGGGAAAATCTGTTTCCCTTTTGCACTCAACAACTAAGCCTAGGGGACGGTGCTTCTTATATACTTTCTACTCTGCCCCCTCCTTTCCACCCCACTGTCACTGACTAGTGACATCTGTTGTGTTTTTCATCTAGACTATTGTAGTGGCCTCCTTACTCTTCTTCAAGCCATCCTCCATGGTCTTGCTAGATTTCTTTTTCTAAAAATACAAATCTGACCATGATATTCTGTTCAAGTCCTGTAGTGATTCCTCAGAGCATTCAAGGTGCCTCTGTTCCTCTAGCTCTGACTGTCCACCTGCTGTGTTCTTACCATTGAAAATTACTATAGTTCCCTGAACACACCCTGGTCCTTCCCAGGCCAATGCAGAGATTATAAATCACAACCTTTAGGAAGCATTCTTTGACCCTAGTCCTTCCCCCTACCTCCTCTCTGCTTCTGCAACACCCAGTATAGATCTAAATGATTATTGATCATGTGGTATTCATTCTTTTTTTACTGTCTTTTATTTCTGGGCTGAATAATTCTTTGTTGTGGGAAAATGTCCTGTGCCTTGTAGGATATTTTTTAGCAGCATCCCTGGCCACTACCCCATAGGTGCCAGTAGCATCCATCTCTACCAGTGCACCGCCCCCCACCTCAAAATGTCTTCAGATATTGCCAGTTGCTCTCAGTTGAGAACCAATCTAAACCCTACTATAGTACTTGACACACAACCAGCTCTTAATAATCTATTAAATAAATGTCATGCTGTCTTCTCTGACTGATAGGAAAGTCTAGACTGCTACTGTGCCACCCAGCAACTTCTAGTCCTGAACCTGAATTGAGGATTTCTGAATTGATAATTGACTTCTAAGTTGATAATTTCAAATGTTATTGACCAAATTAATATTTGCTGTATTCCTGTGAACTGTTTTGAGGGCTAAGGAGCAGCTGTCTTTAGTTCTTGTACTGGGGAAATGACTAATAACCCTCAGGTTCCTTTTAGTCACATACACAGTATTAAGACAGTATTTAATCACCCTAGGCAAGTAACAAGAAATGCAGGAGACATTTAGGAAAAGATTAACAGATCTGACTACTTAAAATTTTAAAACTTATGCAAATAAAAACACCTTAAAGACAAGTAAAAGACCACAGGTTAACACCGAGATACAAAATACATTTCTACAAATTAATAAGAACACAACCCTCTATAAAAATGAGAAATAACCCCCCCCCCGCAAAATACAGGCATACCACAGAAGACGACTTATATTACAATACATAGCTAATAAATACACAAAAAGTTGGATCAACAGCAAATGGAAACATTCATGAAGTACCACTGACAAAACACAAAAGGATAATCTCCTGTGTTGGCTATATAAAGAAAATGGTACTGATTAACTCTTGGTAGGAGTTTATACTACTTGGATGCAAGGCAATTTAGTAGTACCTATCGAAATTTAAATGACTCATTTTGGAATCTGTTTTACAGAAATAATCACAAGTGTGCAGAGATAGTGTTAACAGTGTTTCATGGAAAATGTAATGGAGACTTACTAAACTAAATATCAAGAAGAAAAATTGTGCATAACAGCTGTTAAAAAGAATGAAGTTGATCTTTGTATGAATTGACATTGAAAGAGCATCTTTGATATATTGTTGGGTTGCAAAAGGCAGATTTGCTCGATGGCATAATTTCATTGGTATACCATAAAAAGCATATGTTGTTTAATCAAAATCTGTACTGCTGTTTCTTATCAGTAGTCTAGCTGGTCTCCTCAGATCACAGAAAGCTGTTTTACCAACATCGAAGAACTTATTAAAGCCTAGTCATGTTTTTTCCCAGGGAGTTCAAGAACTCTGAGGCATTGTTCCTATTGTCTTTCGTTTCCAGTTGGTTGGTGCAGGTGGCTGGTTGCAAACCAATGAAATGCAAGTGGACACATTAACGTATATCTGGTGTGTGCAGATTCAGATTAGAAAAAGAAATTTGAGATGAATATTGATTTTATAGATTCCCTAAACCCTTCAGTTTGTCTCCTAAAGCATTTTTATTTTGATATAATTTACAAATTTAAGGACAGGAGCAACTTTGCAGTAGTATGTTTGTCCATATAGAAGGTTAATATATCTGGAGTAGTCTTCAATGTGGGAGATGTTTCCTTTATAAGGCAATAATGTTGAAACAATAATGACATTCTGACATTTTAAAACCAATTTAATATTTTTGCAGCTTTTGCAGAAAGCCGTCATTACTCCTGATTTTGAAAAAAACTACTGTGTCCCACCATATAGTGAATCAAAGTATAAACTTCAGAAAAAACGCAGAGTGAGTACAGTGACTCATTATTTGGAATGTTTAATGTGTTTGACTGTATATGTTCAGTTTATCTAATATGGCTGTACAATTAAAATATATACGTTTCCAAAGAAAATTGTTACAGATATCTAAGAGCCCGTAAAATATGGTTCCATAAACAACGTTTCATATAGATTTTCATAAAGTGAAAGCTCTTTTTTACCACCCTTAAAAACAGTGGCAGCCAGCATATGAGGTCACTGTCCACACCACACCTTTTGGCTTATAGGTACTGTTCACAGAAGGCTGGGAGCTCTGTTGTGGGCTTTTGTAGGGAATTGAATGTAACCATTAAAAACACTGGCCTATTTAGTCTGCCAAACGAAAGCATAGAGGTATTTTCTTTAGTAAAATACAGGGGACTACTTCCGTTTCAACTAATAAGGATAAAGAAATTATTGAGAGAGCTTAAGAGGAAATTTGAGGATGGTGCTCCAGTAATGTCACTAATATGACCAGAGCACCCTGGCACATGGTAAACACTCCAATATTTGTTGTGTGTGAATGAACAAAAAATGAAATTAAGCAAATAACTTGCTAGGAGTTTTCAAAAAATAGAAAGTTTTTGAATTTTAGAAATAATAGAAATTTCTGGACTTGCTGGAGTGAGTAACTTTCTGAGACAACTCGGTGACTCAGTAAAAGTGTTAATATTTACATAAAAGCTCCAGAAGTAAAAATGTTTTTTATACATTACATCTTGTGTAGGGTATTCTGGACAATAAAAATTGAAGCTGTGGGTTACTCTCCCAACAAGTCAGCAGTTCTTACTAAGATACAAAGTAAATTTTTTTTTTTTTTTTTTTTTTTTTTTTTTGCCATATGTGGGCCTCTCACTGTCGTAGCCTTTCCCATTGCCGGACGCGCAAGCTCAGCGGCCATGGCTCACGGGCCCAGCCGCTCCGCGGCATGTGGGATCCTCCCGGACCGGGGCACGAACCCGTATCCCCTGCATCGGCAGGCGGACTCTCAACCACTGCGCCACCAGGGAGGCCCCAAAGTAAATTTTAAGGAGCCCTCATTTAAGAAACTGACAGTGCTGTGCCTAGCTTATCAGAGAAATCACTTTTTGTGATCTAATCATTTTATGAAAGGTGAATCTGGAGACTAATATATACATTCCTGTAAAGTAACCTTATTTGTTTTTCATGAAATTTTCTTTGTAATTTTAGGGGGAGTGAGGTATAGTTTATACACTGCTTATTAAAATTAGAATTTTCTAATTGTTTCTGAAATTTGAATTTCAGCAAGAGCGACAAAAAACAGCAGGTGATGGCTGGTTTGGTATGAAAGCTCCAGAACTGACAGATGAACTGAAAAATGATCTCAAAGCACTGAAGATGAGAGCTAGCATGGACCCAAAAAGGTTTTACAAGAAAAATGATAGAGATGGCTTCCCCAAGTACTTCCAGGTATGACGCAAACAGAATAATGGTAGTGATGTTCTGAGGATTTTAGTTTGGAAAGCACTAAAGTGATTTGTTTACTCTTAAATGAATATTTACAGAGCACATCTGCTCGGGCCGTATAATAATGGCCAGAACCCAATTCAGACAGCCACCAGCTTGTAATGGCTTTCCATATAGAAAGATGGTGTTCCAGACGGTAACTAGGTTTCCAAACGGTAACTAGCTTTTCATAATTTCTTCTCTAAAAATTATGAAACTTACAAGATGGGTGTACCATATATGAGTATTACTAGCCTAACAGCAAGACTCCTTGCAGGATGGGGCAGGAAAGAGGGACTCATGTACACCAAACTCCTTTTTTTCAAGGTTCTTTATTCTGAAAACAAGTTAAAAGTTGGTTTCCAGGCCTTCCCTGGTGGCGCAGTGGTTGAGAGTCCGCCTGCCGATGCAGGGGACGCGGGTTCGTGCCCTGGCCCGGGAAGATCCCACATGCAGCGGAGCGGCTGGGCCTGTGCGTCCGGAGCCTGTGCTCCACTACGGGAGAGGCCACAACAGTGAGAGGCCCGCATACAGCAAAAAAAAAAGTTGGTTTCCAAAGTGTTTTCAGATGAAAGTCCAATTGATTCACCCTCTGGTAGCTCTCAAGTTCATTTTGTTCTTCTTGGCTACCTTTCTTGTCACTCATGGATTACTGTAATAGTCCTTTGCCTCCAGGTCTGCTCTCCCTTTTGGTCCATCCTCTACATTGTAGGCAGTCATCTTTCCTTTAAAACATAGCAATCTGTTTTATGACACACCTCTGCTCAGTGATAATCAAGATATTCAGTGGTGCCTTCAGTGATTCTTATAACCTATAGGATAGAGTCTATATGTATACCCTTTAATGTAGCCCTTCACCATGTGCACCCAAACCAGCTCACTACCCCTTTTTTGGTCACATAGTCTCCTCTTAAGCTCCAACACACTCAGCTACTAAGCCTTCTCAGGATATGCACAGACTGGTCTAGTCGTTCTGACTTTACAAGTGTTTGGCTCTGCCATGTTTGCTTGGTGAAATTTTACCCATACAAATCCAAGCTAAAATGTCATCCTCTGTAAAACCTTCTTTACCTCCATTCGGTAGAATTCGCCATTTAGTTTCAGAGCATCTAGAGTGTTTTGTTCAGCATAATATTAGGTTATTTAATTTTTTAGTTGTACCTCTGGATCTTCCTTGAGACTCTGGGGGCTTCCCTGGTGGTGCAGTGGTTAAGAATCCACCTGCCAGTGCAGGGGACATGGGTTTAAGCCCTGGGCTGGGAAGATCCCACATGCCATGGAGCAACTCAGCCCGTGCGCCATAACTACTGAGCCTGTGCTGTAGAGCCCACGAGCCACAACTACTGAAGCCCGTGCACCTAGAGCCTGTGCTCTGCAACAAGAGAAGCCACTGCAGAGAAAAGCCTGTGCGCTGCAACAGAGAGTAGTCCCTGCTCGCCACAACTAGAGAAAGCCCACAAGCAGCAACGAAGACCCAATGCAGCCAAAAAAAATAAATTAATTTTAAAAATTATTTGAAAATTAAATTAAATAAATAAAATTTTTTAAAAAGACTCTGGCCCCCTCCCTGGCAGGGACCAGATATTCTTTGTCTTTGTTTCCCTAACACCTAGCACAGTGCCTGGCACATAGTAGACATTGTAAATTTTACTTGGTTGAACATATGAACAGACGCAGAGTGGTCAGTAAGAAGGTTCTAAGTTGGCAGCAATTATGATAACCTAGGAGATCAAATAGGTATATAGTAGAATGTATGTGTCAATTTCATTAAATTGGAAATCTAAAACAAAAGACTATCTGTCCCACTTTTCCTCCTCTATTTAGACTATTCATCAAGAATTTACTGTCTAACACTTATATAAAAGGAATTTTGGTTTTACTGTAAACTGTAGGACCCAGTGCAGATTGAATAAGTGATTTTTTTTCTTTAAGAAACGGCAAAAACTAATTTTAATATTGGTAAATTGTAAGCTGTGTTTTCCATTTCTTTCTATAAATATACTTTGTTAGAGCTACCCTGAGATGTGAAAGATACTTGGCCTTCAGGTATTGCATGACTTATTTCAATCAATCATTCATAGATTGGAACCATTGTTGACAATCCAGCTGACTTCTACCATTCACGAGTTCCCAGGAAACAAAGGAAGAGAACTATTGTGGAGGAACTGCTGGCCGATTCTGAGTTCAGAAGGTAAAGGAATTTATGTTTCACTTTATAATATGTGTGCTTTCCCTTAGAATATGCATAAACTTTAAATTCAAGATAATTTTTAAATGCTTTAGCACAGAGTTTCTCAACAGCAGCACTGTTATATTTTTTGGATGGAATAATTATTAGAGGGGACTGCCCTGTACATTGTAGGGTCTTTAACAGCCTCCCTGGTGTCTATCCACTAGATGCCAGTAGTGCACTCCCCTCCCCCCCAATTCATGACACTCAAAAATGTCTTCAAGCAGTTTCAGGTGGCCCCTGTGGGGCATAAGCATTCCCAATTTAGAACCACTGCTTTAGAGGGAAGCGTGAAAGTATTTGGCTGACTAGAGGAGAATGAGCCCACAAAGGAGACTGGGAAAGAATAGCCAGGGAGGCATGAAGAAAATCAGGAGAGCACAGTGTCATAGAAGTCAAGGAAAGGGACTTCCCTGGTGGCGCAGTGCTTAAGAATCCGCCTGCCAGTGCAGGGGACACGGGTTCGATCCCTGGTCTGGGAAGATCTCACATGCTGCGGAGCAACTAAGCCTGTGCACCACAACTACTGAGCCCACATGGCACAACTACTGAAGCCCGCACACCACAACGAAGAGCAGCCCCCACTCGCCACAACTAGAGAAAGCCTGCACGCAGCAACGAAGACCCAAAGCAGCCAAATAAATAAATTGGTGGGGGGGAAGTCAAGGAAAGAGAACGTGACGGGCAGGTATAAGCTGGAGGGAGTGGCTAACAGTAATAAGTGCTGCTGAGAGCTCAGTTGAGGTAAGAACTAAAAACTTTGGATTTAGTACATGGAGGTCACAGTAACCTTGGCAGAAGGAGTTTTCAGGGGAGTGATGGGGAGGAAAGCAGACTGTAAGGTACTTGAGAGTAAGCTGAAGAAATAAGGGAGAAATCTTTGAAGAAGTTTGGTTGTGAGCAAGATGAGAGAGTCACAGCTAGTGGATGGAGTTGGATTTTTTTTTTTTCCTGAGATGGGGGCAATTTGAGTATGTTTAAACGTCCTTGAAGTAGGTATGTGTATAGTATAGACTTAAAAGCATACCTCATATAGAAACCTCTGCCGGACTTCTAGATTCGTTTAATAGCAAAAGTGAAAACGTTTATCAAGGTTTTTTAAACTGGTGTAATATATAGACGTGGAATACAAGTTTAACTTGAGTGTTACGTAAACTATTTAATGAATCTGGTTTATGGTGAAATTTTTAGAAACAAGCAATGCTCTTTTCTCACTTCTCTCTCCTTGGAAATCTCATCCCCACAGAGTTGTATTAATCTATATACTGTTGACTTTCAAATGTGTATGTCTAGTCTAGATCTCTCCTGAGTCCAGAGCCCATAACCAGCTGCTGCCTCAGGAATATCTAATGGGTATCTCACAGGCCCCTCTAAGAGCTAACTTGGGGTCTACTGACCTCATCCTCCCTGTACATTCTGGTCCTCTCCCAGTGCTCTGTATCTCATGACCAAACGGCATCACCCTTTGTCCACTAGGGCAAGTCCTGATACCTCTTCTCCCTTCAGTCCCATGTTCAAACTGTCAGAGTCCCTCCCATTTTCCTATCTCTCAAGCGTGTCTGTTTCCTTCCCCACAGAGGTGTGTGGTACAAGGTGATTGAGTCTTTGCTTACTTAAAATTGACCTATATTTTGTAATCTTCATGATGGCAGTCTCAAATTACAGCATGGGTCTCTAGTGGCTGAAAGTTTTCAAAAGTCTTCCTCTGCCGTTGCCATTTTTTCTTACTAGACTGCAAGCTCTGAGGGTAGGGACTACTATGGCTGGCTGGTTCACTGCTCTGTCCGCAACACCTAGTATGGCTTCTTACACATGGTGGAACTTAGTGCAGATGTGATGAATAGATAGTGAAAATGCAAAAAAAGAAAAAAAATTTAGAAGTGCCTCCCTGCCGCCACCCCGCCTCTCCCCACCTAAAGGTTACATTAACTTCTAATGTTTGGTGTGTCATACTTTAGAACTTAAAGGTTTGGTTTTTCTTTTTAGATATAACCGAAGGAAGTACTCAGAGATTATGGCTGAAAAGGCAGCAAATGCAGCAGGAAAGAAGTTTCGAAAGAAGAAGAAGTTTCGCAATTAAGATTCACCAAAAGCAAATCACAAAATTTTACATCTCCCCTTTATTTATTACTAAAGATATTTTGAAAACTGACACAACCATCACACAAATTAACATAGCCTGGCCCTATTTATATATAGGGATTTCTCTTTGGAAAAAGTTGATTTTAGAGAGGATTAATCACATGCCCCTTGGGATAAAAATAGGGGTGTCTACAAAGGATCCACTCATGCTTAGACCCTTTGAGGAGGAAAAAGAGGAAAATAACCTCAGTCATTTAACATTTTTGTAAAGTTTTAAACATTTGGTTATTTAAAGAAAATTTAAAACATTTAAAAAATATAAAGTTTGCTAACATTCAAAGATTTTAAAGTAATATGATCAAACATACGTGAGCAATATTGTAATTATTATGTAGAGATGTGTGTGTAGGGGGGAGATGGTGCCCTTTTGTCAGTTGCACATTCAAGTCCAGGAAACTGGTGAAGCTGGGATACAGAGATCTTGTTGCCAGTATAACAGTCACAGTTGAGACCAAAGAAATGTTAAAAGTGTTCTTGGGGCTTCCCTGGTGGCGCAGTGGTTGAGAGTCCGCCTGCCGACGCAGGGGACACAGGTTCGTGCCCTGGTCCGGGAAGATCCCACATGCCGCGGAGTGGCTGGGCCCGTGAGCCATGGCCGCTGAGCCTGCACATCCAGAGCCTGTGCTCCGCAACGGGAGAGGCCACAGCAACAGTGAGAGGCCCGCGTACCGCAAAAAAAAAAAAAGTGTTCTTGGAGCATGTATATGTTAGTATATGACCAAAGAACTAAATGAAGCTATAAAAAGGACTTAAAAGACTACTTGGAAAGTCTGGATTAAAGGTAGAAGCAGGAGAGCTATTTTCCTTCTTTAGCAACTGAAACAGGAGGCACGATAGATTTTATCCAGATTCAATGTTGCGTTCCAGTGAAATAGTATTAATATAATTTTAATTTGGCCAGGAGGTAAAGTGGCCCAGCCTGTCTCATCTCCAGTGGCAGAAATAAGCATCCTGGCTAAAGCAACTCACGATAGCCAAGGAGTGTTGGCCATTTCTGTTAATGCTTCTTGGTGGGTTATTGCTTCCTTTATGTCGTTATTCACAGAACATCTATTTTGTAGCATACTGCTTTCTTGGGATTTCAGTAAATAAGAAATCTATTTTGTGTTTACTGCTTGGGATCATAAGCAGCCTAGTAATAAAACGACGACATTCATAGGTGGAGTTAGTGAAACATCTCTATCTGTTCTCTTTTATAGAAAAGCTTTTATTCCAAGAATATTAAGTTTTGCCTTCTGGGTAAAATAAGGACCTGCTATGAGAGAATTAAATATAAAAACAAGAAATAATTTACCCTTTACACATTCTTCCAGAAGGAGACATTGTTAGAACGTTTCTTCAGCTCATGCTACTATGCTATAAGAACAGTCAAAGCTGTCAATCCTTTTGTATGGTGTTTCTCGGCGCAATGGAGGACTTACGCAGTTTTTTCTCAGGCTCAAGGTGTGTGTCAACTTTATTCATAACTTTAATGCTGGTTTCTGACTAGTGAATGCTAGAATAGGTTGAATTATTTGATACTTCAAAACTGTAGTTACGACAGATATTTGGTACATCATAGTGCATTTTACAGGGAAAGCAAGATTGGAGAACTCTAATCCTTCCCACACAGAACAGCACTAGAGCTCTCTGGATTGGAAAGCAGTGATGAGGAACGAGAACTGAACCTAAGCGCCAAGTTCAGCTCTCACTAACCCACCTTAGAGGTGCTCTCAGTACGTGTTTTGAGTACAGTTGACTCTTGAAGAACACGGGGGTTAGGGGCACTGAACCCCATGCAGCTGAAAGTCAGAAACCTTAACAGTAGGCCCTCTATCCACAGTTCTGCATCTGAGAACCAACTGTTCAACTGCTTGCAGGTCATGTAATATCAATACTTTAGTATGGATTTATTGAAAAAATAAATCTATGTATAGTGGACTTGCCCAGTTCAAGCCTGTGTTGTTCAGGGGTCAACTGTATTATAGTTAGATTTTAACATGCTCTTTTTTCGTCTCTGTTGATTCTTTTTTTTTAATCTTATATGTATTTTTGTAAGCCACATACGTAACTTGGAACAAAGTAGAGAGTTACCAACAAATGTAAAATACCTTATTCAGTGAAATAAATGCTTCAGCTAAAAGTCATTTAAAGTGATCTCTATTAACATTTACTTTAAGGAATTAAAACTGGTAAGATGCATAGTAGCTTCATCTCAAATGTGATCTTCACAAATTTATTTTAAATCTTCAAAACTGAGTATCAAAATATGGGTTTCCCTGGTGGTGCAGTGGTTGGGAGTCCGCCTGCTGACGCAGGGGACACGGGTTCGTGCCCCGGTCTGGGAAGATCCCACATGCCACAGAGTGGCTGGGCCCTTGAGCCATGGCCATTCAGCTCATGCTACTATGCTATAAGAACAGTCAAAGCTGTCAATCCTTTTGTATGGTGTTTCTCGGCGCAATGGAGGACTTACGCAGTTTTTTCTCAGGCTCAAGGTGTGTGTCAACTTTATTCATAACTTTAATGCTGGTTTCTGACTAGTGAATGCTAGAATAGGTTGAATTATTTGATACTTCAAAACTGTAGTTACGACAGATATTTGGTACATCATAGTGCATTTTACAGGGAAAGCAAGATTGGAGAACTCTAATCCTTCCCACACAGAACAGCACTAGAGCTCTCTGGATTGGAAAGCAGTGATGAGGAACGAGAACTGAACCTAAGCGCCAAGTTCAGCTCTCACTAACCCACCTTAGAGGTGCTCTCAGTACGTGTTTTGAGTACAGTTGACTCTTGAAGAACACGGGGGTTAGGGGCACTGAACCCCATGCAGCTGAAAGTCAGAAACCTTAACAGTAGGCCCTCTATCCACAGTTCTGCATCTGAGAACCAACTGTTCAACTGCTTGCAGGTCATGTAATATCAATACTTTAGTATGGATTTATTGAAAAAATAAATCTATGTATAGTGGACTTGCCCAGTTCAAGCCTGTGTTGTTCAGGGGTCAACTGTATTATAGTTAGATTTTAACATGCTCTTTTTTCGTCTCTGTTGATTCTTTTTTTTTAATCTTATATGTATTTTTGTAAGCCACATACGTAACTTGGAACAAAGTAGAGAGTTACCAACAAATGTAAAATACCTTATTCAGTGAAATAAATGCTTCAGCTAAAAGTCATTTAAAGTGATCTCTATTAACATTTACTTTAAGGAATTAAAACTGGTAAGATGCATAGTAGCTTCATCTCAAATGTGATCTTCACAAATTTATTTTAAATCTTCAAAACTGAGTATCAAAATATGGGTTTCCCTGGTGGTGCAGTGGTTGGGAGTCCGCCTGCTGACGCAGGGGACACGGGTTCGTGCCCCGGTCTGGGAAGATCCCACATGCCACAGAGTGGCTGGGCCCTTGAGCCATGGCCACTGACCCTGCGCATCCGGAGCCTGTGCTCCGCAACAGGAGAGGCCACAACGGTGAGAGGCCCGCGTACCACACACACACAAAAAAATATGTATATATATAACTAAGTAAAGGTCAGAACGGAGTCTCTTAGTGCTCCCAGCCTTCTACAAAAATCTATACTTGAATAATGTATGTATTTGTCTGGTTTTTTTTTTTTAAGCAAAGCAACTGTTGAGAAAAAGTTTTAGTGACTTTGGCTTCTGTCACTAAACTCAGTTCACTTACTGGAACTATTTTAAAGCTTAATGACTATCAGAAGTACATTGACTTCTCAACTGAAAAGCATTATACAGCATACAAAGTGCTGATGTAGTGTGCTAATGAAAGGAGGGCCTTCAGAATACCTTAAGTTCTTGAAAGATTTCTGAAATGCTTTTAAGACAGCTTATTAAAAAAAAAAGAAGCCTACAAAGCTAGTTTTTTTTTTTATTTTCTGAAGTGAGGAAATTAGGGAAAGGAAAATGAAGATGGAAGAAGTTAGAAAACTAACAGTTGATGAAGGCAGGCTCTGAGCCTCCTGGCATCTAACACAAAAATCAGCTCTGTGTTCAGTGTTCTGCCATAATATAAAAACAAAGCAGCTGCTTTAGAGAAACACCATTATACCTATGTTTAAGAGCTAAAGAAATGTCGCATGGGTCTCATAACAAGGATGTCAGACTACAGGCCATGCTTGGCTGTCCAGAGGATAAATGGCAGGGTTTTAAAAGGAAGAAAGGCTGTAACGTTTAATGAAACTTTGAGCAACTGGGATAAATTCAAGGGGTCCCACTCTTAGAAATAGCAAATTATAAGAAAACATCACATGAAAAAAATTTTCAGTACCACTTTTGGAATATGTGCAGATGCTCATTCAGTTCAATCCCTCAAGCAATGACAACTACTGTTCAGAATAACTACCTACAACACCTTACTGAAAGTGTTCAGTTAGGATTGAAACAAAATGATTTACTAACTCCCCAAGCATCTGACTAGAATGTAAAATTCAGGTCTCATTGTTACACAACTTAAGTGACGAATGAATGCTTTCAATTTCTAATAGCTTCCCAGAAGCAGGGTCAGTAGCATGACCTGCAATTAAATGTCTTAAGCAGATCAGTGTTTTATCAAAGAACTGGAATGTCTCAAACTATGAAGTGTGAATTTAGATAACAGTGGAGTAGGTTCTGAAAGGGAAATGGTTAACAATAAATACTGAACACCAACTGAAAAAGGCAAAACTATTTTAGGTTCAGGTGATGGGTGGTGGATGATGTATGTTCATTCCAATTATCACTGCATAAAATTGCCCCAAGACTCAGTGATTCAGAACAACCACTGTTTTATTGTATCTCATGATTCAATGGGTCAGGGCTTAGCTAGGTGATTTTTGCTCTACATGGTATCGAATGAGGTTGCTCAGTGGTATTCAGCGGGCTGCTGAGCAGATCTGGAAGGCCTAAGACATTCCCTGACATGCCTGACACCTTGTAATATTTTCTTTTAAAAGCATGATGACAATTGAAATTTATCTTCAGTTTAATGGTAGTATAGCATAGAAATTGCTATAAAGCCAAAACATGACCCACACACTTTGGCACTGCGTAGTGTTTAGGAAGTCCTGCTCTTCCCCACCTGCCTCCTTCCTAGTCACCCCTCCTGAGGGAAGAGGAGTTGCTAACCAGATTGAAGTGAGCCCAGGATACTCACTG